CCCGAACCTCCTCGTGCTTCTCTTTCCATTGTCACATTCTACGTTCTTCAGCTGCTTTTACTGCAGCTGCTTTATTTGAGTTGACAGCTTCGGCTATCCCAGCAGCCCCACCAGCAGTTGCTCCTACTGCAGCTAAACCAGCAAAGATTAAAGGTAAGAAAGGTAAAAATCCACCTTTTTTTAGTTAAATTCTGATCAATTCTTTCCAAGTCTATATCGTCTCTGACTTTGCAATGTTTGTATTTATCGATAATCTTTTGGGTTATGTGCACTTTTTTACCGTTGTAAGTTATCAGAGTCGGCGAATTCGTTTCGATAGCTTCTATTATTTTCATAACTAAAGTTTCTGGTTTCATTTTTAAAGGGTGTTTTTCTATTCAATTCTTATCATTCTTCTATCTGATATTTTAATCAAATGTTTTGCTTCTTCCAGCAATAAACCGTAGCCGGTTACATCTCCTTGTGTTTTTTCAATCCGAATATTTATGTTTACCTTTTTTTTAAAAAGATCTTCTTGATGAGCTGACAGATCGAAACAAAAGATTGGATGATTGAGTGAAAAATCTGTGTATTCAAACTGAGGCGTATTTCCAAACAATTCGCACATGTTTTTATAGTTTCTGTACAATTCGTTGTAATCTTTTTTGGAAGGATCAATTGTCAAAGGTTGATTGGGATAATTATCGTTGTTCAATCTGACTTGAACTTTGCGAATGATGGGATCTTGAGTATGGTTCAATGCCACTCTGAAAATGTTGTTGTTGTTTGTCTGAGAGTCTGGCAAGTTTTTGAAACCGACCATTAGATATCTCGCTGGTTTGATGGTGTTGGTGATTGGCCACGTGGTGGATTCTCCCGTTAAAGTCATGCTACCTATCGTGTTATGACGAAGAAAAGCAATTTCGATGTCTTTGGTTAAAGAGTTGAATATTCTCGTTTCCACTTCTACGGAAGGAGTGATTACCGGTATGTAAAGTTGGATATTCGTTATTTCCAATTTTGCGTCAGAGTTGTTTTCACCAAAGAATATATTGTTGTCGTTGATTTCTCTTTGCAAATGAATTTTATACGGTAAACCTATGGAAACCTTTCTGTGTTCCAAGAGACCAAATAAAGGATACAACTTCCAATTTACGTAATTACCCCATCTGTTGTTCTCGACAACATTGTTGTACTGAAGCGCTCGCTTTTCAAATCCGTGATTTACTCCGCGAGTCACTCTTTCCAGTGTGTTTCTAGCAACTACCCTTATCCTAGCAAGGTCTGCGTCATTTGCTACAGTTCTGACCGGTTCTTTTAAAACTTCTCCGTCACCGACTTTGGGAATCCATCCCGAAACTGAATCGTAGTTTTTGGGATACAGAACCGTTTTCAACATTGTGTCAAATTCGCCGGGGTGTTTTATGATCTCTATCGGATTTGAACCAGCTTCCAAAACCATTTCGCTGAATAAAGACGGAAAGAAGTTGTTTTCTAAAATCGTGTTGGTTTGTGGAATTCGATTCTGAGTGGCGTCTTTGATTTTGAAATCGCATCGGAAATGGGTATCGGAAAGCAGCAACCAATTGGACAACGAATTAATTTCAAAGGTAACTCTTCCTCCGTCGTTTATTTGGGTCTTTGTCCCTACCGATGGTGAAATGATTACGTAATCCTCTTTCTTCTTGTTGAACGAATATTGAATCGGATCATACAATTGAAAGATCCAATCTGTAATTTTTGCTTGCCATTTTTATCCAATGATTTTAAACCCTTTTCCTTGTTTTTCTAGGGCTTGTCGTTCTAGTCTCTTGTTTCTTAGTTCTCTTATTAGCTGCAGTTCTTTAAGTTCGTCAGATTTTTTCACTGCATCGCTAATATTTACTCCTGCTTTTGCCACAGATCCAAGAGCTTGCGCTTCTGAGGAAATGAGGGATTTGTTGTTTGAGACAAAATTGGCCACTTTAGGGACGAGAGATGTTAGCGCAGAGAAGAAACCGTCTCCTTCGAATTTTTTTTGTTCGTGTTTTAAAATTAAAGACATTTTTATTTTTTTTAAAGCGGTTATTTTATACTGTATTATTTTAGTGAATCTTGTCTGTGGTTTGGGTAATTTATATAGAGTGTGTTATAATACAGTTTGGAGGAGTCTGTTAGAATACATTTTTTTAACAGTTTGGAGGGGGAGTCTGTTATAATACATTTTTAGCAGTTTGGGGAGTCTGTTATTATACATTATAACAGTTTTAACCTATAGATACCGTAGATATCATCTTCACAAATTGGATTACCCCCTGAGGTTCCATTTCGATTTAAAGAAAATTACGCACAGTAATTTCAAATATTAAAAAGCGCTATTTTGATTGAAATATCTGGGGTTATATATCATTACAAATGGCAGATGAACTCTAGTAAAATTCAATAAGAATGTTTGGTGTATATAAATTAGGTCACGTGACAGAGCTCTTAAGAGAAAAAAATCGTAATTTTCAATCCGCTATAAAAACCGGAAGTAATCATTGGACTGCAAATATGAGTATATCACTGCATGGATATCATCAAATTTTGTTCAGGCCACCAAAGGTCAAGGTCACGAAATAGGAGCCTTTGAAATTTTGGACATTACCGAAAAATTTTAACCAGAAATAAAAGAAAAGCAAAATAGAAATTAAAAAATCGGCTTCCAAATTTCTTTTCGTAATCCATTGTGATATCCAGATATACCAAAATTATGAAAATCGCTCTACACTCTGAGGCCCCATTTTGAATTTTACACAAGTTTGACATATCAATACTCATTTACATCCGGGAAAGTGTCTATCCAACTGTTAGTTTTCAGATTGATCGAAATTGAATTGTAGAAGTTAGAAAAAAGGTTAAAAAACTCAAAAATTGGAGCTCAAAAAGATTTTTTCAATTGCTATCTTGTAGTCATTAGCGCGAGGTGATAAACAGTAAAGTTTAAGCAAATTCAGATGAGTATTAAAGCTGATTAATGGAAAAACAGCCATTGTCCACAGCTCATTTCCGGTTGGTCGAAATGGTGACAATTTACATTTAACAAATAATTGTCAAATATTTTGACTACAAAACAGCAACAGACATTATGTAGCATGTTCCCTTCTTAGAAAACAAGCTAGGTGAAATTCGAAAAACAAATAGTCATTTGCAAAACAAAGCAGTGCGTTCGAAGAATAATAGTAAACAGAACGCCCTGCAATAAACAGTTAAAAAACAATGCAGGGCGTTCGTTTTCGAATTGCATTGTTTTAATAATAGTTTATTGCAGAATTAAGGCCAGGACCCAAAGATACAAACATAATACTAAGATTTATACATATACAATTTTATTAAAGCACTTTAGTACATGTTCATAAATAAATAATGAAGAGCGATTAACAACATGTTTCTATCTACTTTTTAAAATGAGAGACGTTCATATAGGACTATAAAGAACCTTTTCGGATTGATGTGGCCTGATCTAAATATCTAAAAATTGTCCTAATAACATCAACATCTTCAATTGAACACAACTGTCTAAATTTCATATAAGTAAGAGTCGAAACAAAGTATTCTGGGAGAAGTCCGTTTCTTATGTCACTATAACGAGGACAAGTGAAAAATATTTTCTGACAAATAATTACATACTGGACAACTAGGACTACTTACAACTTTCCTTTTAAATAGAACACATCCAACAGGAAAAAGATTTAGTCATAATTTTGCAATGTTTTGTTTTATATGAAATAAGATATTCATTGACAGATAAGATTCGTGACATACATTAATCTTAAACATTGAATATATTCGTAAGCTCTCACTGTTCTGCAATTTCGACGACAATTCTTGCAAATTAATATCGGTAAGACGAAGTTTTAGTGCGTTGATGAATAGTTTTGTGTTGCCAATACTTTCTTGATACCAAACAAAACCAAAACCTATTGAACACAAAAGCAGTCTCACTTTCGTTGCCCAGGTTACCCTGCCAACAGAATCAAAATTGTGTAACATTTTATAAACTTGCTTAGGGTATCTGTTATTTGAACACGTTTTATCCAATACTTCACACATGACGCCATATAGTATATAGCTAGGTCATGACGACCACATTCCCTAGACCACCTGTAGTGGAACTGCTTTTGTGGATTCCAAGAACAGATTTCCAAAATCGTGAGTGAACAGTTTCAATATCATTCCTGTATTCATATCCCCAAATAGCACTACCATACAAAAGTATTGGTTTAATTATAACATCAAATATCTTAAAACTAATATGAATTGGAGGTGACCCTACTTTACGGAGCAAGCCTTGAGTAAGAATTAAGGCTTTCCTTGCCTTTAATGACATAGTGGATACAGCTTACTCCATATTAACCTGGAGGAAAACGTCAACCCTAAATATTTGTATTACGATACACACTCTAATTTATGGTTAATATAATAAAACTTCTGTAGATCTGCTACAGTATCGGATATAAGGCTTACATCGTCTGCATAAAGCAATAGCAAAATGTCTTGGATGTCTTGATTAGTGAAAATTCCCCTGACATCTCCTTTGCGCATACTGTCTATTAGCTGGTTTATATACATACAAAATAGTAAAGGACTGAGGATGCACTCCTGGCGTACACAAGACAAACAAGCTAAATAAGGGGTTATATTTGAGCTGTTTTCACACAATGAATACATGTTCTTTAGGGCATGAAACATTTTGCCATTCACTCCTTTCTCATTCAATAATGACAGTAATTTTAGATCTGTTAATTGAATCGGATGCGCGGGAAAAATCTATAAATAAACAATACATACGTCCCCTGGGCTTCGATAGGTACTTCTGGACAAGACCTTGAAGTGTAAATATTTGGTCCATAGAGGGATAACCTTTCCGGTATCCAGCCTGTTCCTCATAATATTTACCTTCAATCTCTGACCATTTCTGTAACCTCTTATTTAGTACAGCACCATAAATCTTTTCTAAACAGTCAAGTAATGAAATTATTACAAGTTCAGACCGAGCCCTTCTTATGCAAGGGGGAAATAATAGCCTTTAACCAACTGTCAGGAAAAGAACCATAATCGAATATAGTGTTAAATATTTTAGTTAAACTGGGTGCAAATATATCTGAACAGGCCTTGTAAAAGTCAGTAACAATGCCATCTGGCCCTGGAGAAGTTCCAGATTTCATTTTCTGCACACATTTGATTACTTCAGATTGCGTTATTGGACAATTTAATAGTCCATTGTCATCACCTTCTAAAGAAGTATCGAATACAGAGTAAAGCAAATCATCTTGTGACATAAAACTAGGGTTCAGGACAGATTTAAAATAGTCCACCCACTCTTGCGAACTGATCAAGTTACAGGTTTTCGTTTTTGGTCGGAAACTTTTAATCGTTTGGATCTGGATCTGGATCGTTTAAGTTATTGTATAGTTTGTCATAAAACAATTTATCTTGATTCCGTTTCTTCTCTCTACATAATGACTTAAAAGTCATTTTTGCTGTTATTATACAAGGCTAAGTGTTAATAACAATTACTTTCTCTAAATTGATTTAACAAGTTATACTTATTTTGTTTACTTACTGTTTATTATCGTACCAATTATATTAGATTTAGGTTTATAAACCATAAAATTTGCACATGACTTGATAAAATCAGCAAAATATGATATAGCATTGTCAAAATTTGTTTTCAAAATTTGTTCAAACTCGTCACTGAATTGATCAAAAGTTTTGTTCACATTCTCCACAAAAAGTTCAATTAAGTCGGGTTTCCATACCAATTTGGAATTGATTCAGAGCTATTGCCGTTATTAGTCTCAAGGATGTAGGCGGCACTGCATGTCATCTGAAAAGTTAAAAGCTGGTGATCTGACTCAGTTCTGGATTCGACAACGAAATTGGAAACTGTTTCAAATAACTCAGTAGAAACCCGTAGGTAGTCGACTACACTAGCGCCATTGTATGTAAGACATGTGTATTCACCATCAATATCTCCTTGAACACGACCGTTAACAATATGTTTATTAAACACTGAACACAAAGATAATAATTTAATACCGAAATTGTTGGTGTCTTGATCCTTAGAATTGCGAGATTTGTCAAAGTTGTCCACATCATAGTCAGCTTCCTCAAGACCAGGAATATACTTCGTCGAGTCGTCTATCAGATAGTCACGTTGCTGACCAGTTCGTCCGTTAAAATCGCCAGCTATCATAAATCTGGGTAAATTCGATTCCTAAACTCGTCGAAGCGATATACACTAACAACTCAGTGACGTCACATTTAAACTACATAGTTATCGGAGCGGAAACATTCGCTTTTGATTTAGAAACTGAACAGATTATTAAAGTGAATAAATAGCGAACCAAGGAAGACTCAAGTCAGTGAATCTGGGTCTAGTAACAAGAATTTACACAATTTAACTAACTCGAAACTCAACCTTCTGACATTAAATGTAAACGGATTAAGATCCAAATTAAATGACCCGAATTTTGTTCATTCAAACTATGATGTGATATGTCTGATAGAAACATGGTGCGGATCAAATATATAGATCTTGATAAATATTTCCCAAAGTATGATATTGTTTGGTGTGTACGTGGTAGTGGGAAAGAGAGGTGTGGGTAGTTGTGCTGTATAAGAAGACAATCGCGGGAGGGATAAATAGAATCAAAGATGCTTATAAGGAGTCCATAGTTTTAGAATTAAGAGGCGATTACTTCGGATGGTCGAAATTATGTATACTATACTGTGTTTACATCGCCCCCGAGAGTTCCAAAGTTCACGGAGAGGAGTGTGGATTCGATATTTTCGAGGATAATCTCTTGGAAGTGATTACCGATGCCTTTCTCAATCTGTGTATATGCGGTGTGAAGTCTTCAGCTATTGAGAAAAAAAAGCAAAAAAAAAAAAATAGGTCTCGGGTTTGTACGTTTCGCATTGTTTTTTCCGAGACTATAACACCGTTCAATGCCTATTAAATTATCTGACTCAGCCCCCTAAATCTTAAACTCTCCAGCTAGAATTTCTCTTACCAGTTTCTCACAGTCTTCAACGCCTTCCACAACTTCCTTTACACCATATAAAATAAGATTTTTCTGTTTTTCTCGATTTTCAGTGCTATCTATCTTTGATTTCATAGATTTGCTATCCATCTTTAATTCAGTAACCTCTTCCCGTATTTTAATAACCTCCTCCTTAATGTTCAAATCCTTAACTTCATCTTTAAGATCTTTAATTTCCGACCGTAGATTTGAGATATCAGCTTTCAACGATTGAACGAGGGATGTGAGTTCAATAACATTGTCGGTTGGGGTTGGGTAAACTACTTCGCCGGATTTTGAAATCTGTCCTTGTCTTGTGCTGAGAGGGCCAGGGTTCTGTTCAACATCTCCACATATTGCTATAAGCTGCGAAGACAATATAAGTAGACAAAGAATATTTTCAGTTTTCATACCTTTTGAGGAAGATCCTTTGGTGGACGCCATTTTGTGACCGTAAAGTCCAATTATGGCTCTCCAAGTTACGATATCAATGAACATATTTAAACGAATCCAAACTTGATATATACCACAATCGACAGTAAAGTAATTAATTCCACATAAATGTTTAAATAGCAACAAGGTATAACAAAAATAATCAAAGAAATTTTAAGCTATCAAACTTTTAAATCTTATTTTTATAAAAGTTGACACGGTTGGCTGAACACCGGAGCAACAAATTTATAACCTTTCTCTTCAGTCATTGTTTTCATTGACTTTTTCATAGAACACAATAGAGACTAAAGTTTTAAACTGATTTTAGTGATATTTGATGTTATCATTTATATTGATGAGATGTTGGTAAAGATTGAATTTTTAGTTATTGCCCTTGACTTAGGAAAAACGTATCAAAATCTGTTTGTGAACACAATAGAGTCTACAGTTTTCAACTGATTTTAATGAAATTTGGTGCGATCATTTATTTGGATGAGATGTTGGTCAAGTTTGAATTTGACGATCGATAATTATTGCCTTTGACTTACAGTTTTCATCTGATTTTAATGAAACTTGGTGGGATAATTTATATTGATGAGATCTTGCTCAGGTTTGATTTTTCTATGGAAAGTTATTGCCCTTGATTGAGGGAAAAACGCGTCAAAATTTGATCATGAGCACAATAGAGACTAGTGTTCATCTGATTACAATGAAATATGGTGTGATCATTTATATTAATAATATATTTGTCAAGTTTAAATTTGAGAAACTTTTGAGTTATAGCCCTTGACTTGTTCAAAGGCAAACTATAGACTACAGTTTTTTTTTAAATTTAGTTTGATGATTTATGTTGATAAAAGAAACGAAATGAATTGAGTTTTACGTCTTTTTATTTATATTGATGAGATCTTTTGACAATTTCTCTCTTAAAGACGGGTTCCCTTATTTTCATTTATGAAAATGGAAATACTGATACATATATGAATAGAAAATATAGGTGTTCTAATGACTTGGAAAAATACCAGTTTATCTCACATGTCCATAATTAATTCATAATTAGCTAAATAAGAAGATAATTGCCAGCAGAATTGAGTGACCGATCAAGAAAGGTCAAAAAGTCTTTTTTTGTTTATCCAGACTGTATATACATGGACATTTATGATTGTTAAAGATCTCTTTATCATATGCAGTAAGAACATAATGATATGATTAAGAATACACGATCATTCATTAGAAACACCAATTAGTCTATTAAGTTGACTCTAAAAATCAAGGAAACCACTATTTAACAATTTTTAAGTTTTTGCCTCGATATAAAATATCGAATAATATATATCATTAAATTCAAACTAATAATATTTCTTTAAATTAAGGAAAATTTGTACTAAAGACTGTTTTATCATTTCTGACAGCTGACAACTGCCAGTGGGCGTATATTACCTTGCCGGTCAAGCTATCTTTCATTTTGATTCAATATACTTTCTCGACTAAATACAATTACTTTGGTCTTGGCCATTTTCATCCCATATTTTTGACACAATTTGCTAATGCAGTCTATTTGCTTTGTTATCTTCTTACAGTGTCTGATACATACATATTTTATTAGACGGTGTTGAATACTGTCGAACACTTTTGAAAAATCTACGAATAAACAGAAAAAGATCTAGATCTGTATTTCTGCATCAGACTCTAAAAAATATAATCAATTGTATTATATCCCCGCCCATAACCAGTTTGGGGTTAATATTTTGTAGCAAAACCATTCAATCCAAGTAAGGACATTCAGTTCAAGTTAAGACATTCAACTTATGTTCAGCCATTGAATGTGTATTCCTTAGGGAACTATGTAATTATGTGGATACTTGTTTATTAGTACATGGGATATGGTTTATATATGCTGAAACTTCCTAATATGCTGGAATGATCCTTTGGTGGTACTCCTGTCGTTGTTACGTCGATACTTATTGAGTTGACGTGTTTAATAAGACACATAATAGGCCTATGTATTAAAATGTGTTGAAGAACAATGTATATTGCTGAAATGAGTATTATGAAAACATATATTGATTGTACTGAACTGTGCTTGTGAACATTTTCTTGATTAAATATTTTACCGGTACGTTTGGTCTTAGCATTAACTATGCTGATACGTCGATGATGTGTTGGTGTGTCACTTAGTCTACGACGGCCCCCACACAAATTAAATTATTACTTTTTGAGGAATGTTCTCGTTTGTTCACTTTGTCTAGAATAGGTTTGCTTTTCATTTTAAAGACATTGACTTCAGTATGCATTTCTTTGTATACATCCAATTCGTCCTTCACCTCATTCAGCTCAGTTCGGATACTCCTAAAATATTTATGGCTATAAAGCCGACTATGACTGTGTGTTGTTGTGATCGTAGCGTATGTCTTGGATCAGAATTTGCTTCCCTTAACAAGATCAGATAAAAACTGAAGTCTCTATCGTGCCTACCAGGCAAATTTGACGAGTTTTTACTAAGTAAAGGGCAATAACTCTGAAACCGCTCATCCGATTATTGCTAATTTCGAAATTTCATCAATATATACGTAGATACCAAGTTTCATCAAGATCAGATAAAACTTGCCTCTATCGCGCCTACAAAGAATGTGAACGGACGGGGGGACGGCAATATGCATTTTCAGGTGGGCGTATAAAAAGCATATTTTCTGTATTAGTAGTATTAGTACTTATATATTTACAGCATGAATCCGTTTCGCTCCGCACTACTGTAAATCTGTAGGTTCTAGAACTACTACACAGGGGGGCAAACACAGCTTAAATATGTATACTTGGAATTTAAACATAAAGAGGATCCACAAATAATTCACGATTAAGAATCTATTCCAAATCATACTTTTAGAGCAAAAGTTGAACGAGCTCAAGTCAGAAGACTTTTCAATTCAAAATACAATAAGGTACGTGTATAGTAGATGAAGTTCACAAAGAATTCAGAAAAACTAAAAACTTAAAGATTATATGATATATAATCTGCTGACATTAGAAACATACCGAATGAAAGAGGATATAAATATTGTTTAACAGTTATAGATTTATATACTCGAGTAGTACTAGACCTTTCAATATGTTCGCAAGGGGATTCCCCATTCCATTTCATTCCATGGGGGAAGTGCGAACATATTTAAAGGTCCCAAAAAGACCTAAACACCCTACATTCCATAAATACTTACACCAAAAACACCTAAACACCCTACATTTCATAAATTCTTACACCAAAAACACCTTCAATCAATTCCCTCTCCTACATTCCATCAACCCCCACCCCAAAAAAGAACCTATTCACCCTACATTTCATTAAATTAAACGAAAAAAGCATATTAAAAATACCCTTATACAGAATAACATCCTTGTTTCGCTTAACATCCGGTTTTTTAATAGCCTCGTTTTAAATAATGTTATTTTTAGTCTAGAAACTTCTAGAAGGAAGATAACTCTTGTTTTTGGAAAAAAAACATACCACGATTTTCTACTCAATTTTTAAACCTTAAAAATGGCAAATAAAATACTAGATCCAATCTTTAAATTATACGATCCGATTCGTTACTCATTTAATAAGAAAAAAGCGGATTATATTATCATCTCACCGTCTGTTGGTTCTAAATCCCAGTTGAACAATGGTGGTAGAATTACCTTCGAAATTAATTCATTATTGAATTGGTTGATTCTTTCCGATGCTTATTTCAGATACTATTTCAAAATAAAAGATGGAACTCCCAATGAAAATCGTGTACCACAAACTAATACAACGTTAGAAAACAATTTCTTTCCGTCTTTATTTAGCGAGATGGTTTTGGAAGCTGGTTCAAATCCGATAGAAACAATTAAACACCCTGGGGAATTCGATATTGTTTACTACTCGAAGAAGCAAAACATTTAATTAAAATAGCAGATAGAGGAATGATAAGAATTGAGTAAAAAATACCCCCTTAAAAATGAAAGTAGAAAACTTTACTTATGAAAATAACAGCTTCCCCAACTGTAATAACTTTCAATGGTAAAAAAATCAGCATAACTAAAAGTAAAAAACTTATTGATAAATACAAATATTGTAAAGTCAGAGATGATATAGACTTAGAAAGAATTAACGCCAACGCAAAGGAAGGTGGATTTTTACCTTTCCTACTATCTTTGATATTTGGTGGTCTTACCGCGGCGTTTGCAATAGCTGGTGGTACAGCTACTGTAGTAAGCGCTGTCAACGATGATAAAGCAGCTAAAGTAAAAGCTGCCGAAGAACATAGACACAATTTAGAAATGGAAAAGTAAGCAAAAGGTTCAGGAGTGGCAGATATATTAGGAACAGTTAACGAATTTGGAAAACGATTTGGGGAAGAAACCAAGTTTTAAAACTGTTAAACAAGGATTAAATAAATTAGTAGAGAGTATTGACACAGGAGAAGACAAAGTCAAAAATAGGGGTAATGGAATATTTTTAAAATTAGAGAAGGATTATATCTTTCAAAGTATAAAGGAGATGGAGTTATTTTGGAACAAAATAAAATAATAAAAAATGGGAAAGAAATTCAAACATTCAGAAATATTTCCTAGTAACTCAATGCTCATGTGTATATGCGGTAGTTCCGGTTCTGGGAAAACTCATCTCACTTTTAACATGTTGACAACACCAAACCTTTTAGATTTTAATTCTTTGTATATCTACACAACACCAGAGCAATCGTATTATCAATTTCTGAAAGCTTTAGAATATTTACCAAAGAAAGATGTTCAAGACATATTATGAAGAAAACGAAGAAGAAGAAATGGAAATAAAAGATATCATAGATAGACATTAAAGTTTTTCTTACAAAAAATGTTAATGATCTAGACTTGTCTAATATTGATAGCAATCGAAAGAACTTAATATTGTTTGACGACTGCGTAGCACCAAAGAAATCAAGCTGTTCAACAAGAATTCTTCACGAAAGGAAGACATCACAACTGTCACTGCATATACCAATCCCAATCTTTTTACGGGATGGATTCTATGTTCATTAGATAAAATGCATATTGATTTTTATTATTCGAATTAAACGATAAGGATTTATCTCAAATCATTCAGTCGATAAATCACGGTTTGTAAAGCTCACTGGAGAAATCCAGATGATCATGGATATGTACTTGTAAATACTAGAAATCCTGCGGGTGAAAGAGTTATGATCGACATATTTTAATTTTATTTTTTTTTAAAATGCGAAGCGATTGGAATAATATTTTAAAAAGAATTAGAGAATATATCAAAGCTAAGAATAAAATAAAGACCCAAGTTGAAAATAAGAAATTAAAACAACTTGGATTAACAGAAAATCTACAAACTCTATTTCAACCAATATTACAATCTCAAGAGGATATTAAAAAAATTAGCTTTAGAACCCACACCTCATCACCCTAAACCGATTGAATATGATGGTATTATAATTAGGACCTTAGATGATATAAATCGTCTTTTTTCAAACCCTGACTCAGTTTTACCAAAGAGCATTTCACCAATCGTTGATGATGAGGGGTTATTATTTAATGGTTTTAGAATAAGTTTTAGTCCAAATTCACACAATTCAAAAGCGGCAATGAAGCAAGGACATCGATCACACAGACAATATAATGAAGTAAATTGTATATTAAAAAGACTCCTAGAGAAAGGTATTATAGATAAAAATGATTATAAAAGCGTGATTAAAAATGTCAAATAAAGAACAACTATTCGTTATCACCTCAAATAAATCAGACATTAAATTGTCTCTAGATTATGAGTATGAACTCAATCGCAATCAAAAATATGAATTTGATTAAAGTATTTCTCTGTTCACAATTCCATTAGAAACATCAACGAAAAAAATAAACAAATAAAAATATCAACAGATAACGGAGCTACATTCAAAACCATAAGTTTATTACCAGGAAGCTACGAATACGTATCCATTTACGATTACCTTTCTGAATATGGAGGAAGTCTAAATGGTAAAAACAATATTGAATTCGAAGGTAATTTGAATCTGAACAAAATAAAATTGACATTGAGAAATAATAGTCAAGTTGATTTCAACGTAGAAAATTCATTAAATACTTTTACTAGACTTTGATAAAAAAAAATATACACCAAATCCACTTTAGCACCACACAAAGCTAATATCGTGAATGATATCGATGTGATAAATATACATTGCAATTTAATAAACGGTGGATTTTTCAATAAATACAAACGTCAGATTATTTACAGTCTTCCAACATTCACTGTACCGATTGGATGTAGAATTATAGAGAAACCATTTCAAACGACATATTTACCACTTGATTCCTTTATGATTAAAGATATAAATCTGGAAATCAAAGATGGTAAAAATAGGTTTATAGATTTTGGTAACGAGGAAATTGTTATTCAACTTCATTTAAAACAAAAAAAATTAAATTTATTGAGTAATTAAACACTCTGGAATAGTTAGGTAATCGAAATCATCAAATTCATAGTTTTCATCCAAACTCAATTCATCTTTATCACCGGCTTATAAAATCCATCTATTACGTGAATAAAATTATTCATTATTTTGTTACTATGAGATAATACGAATGATCCCAAATGACTAGGTGTTAGTCGTGTAGATTTAGGAGGTATACAGTCAAATTCTTTTTCTTCTCAACGATATATTGAGTCTCATTTACTTTAGGATAGCTTTTGACGTGTGAATCGAAGTTGACTTTTAAAGTTGCTTCACTCCATAAATGTCTCGATGTAGTTATATCCTTCTGAATAGATTTACCATACAATGAATTACCTAATAATTTCATGCAATTACTACCTACGATATTACCTTCTCGTTTATATTTATTTCTCAGATCTCTCAAAATTAAAATATAATCTTTATATGGTGGAGTTTTAAAATTTTCTTCGTATACTATACCATCTAATATTCTAATAATTCGTCCACCGGCTTTAACTATTTCTTGAATATCAACCGATGTTAAAACTTCTGAACAGAAACCATTTCTGAACCTGATTTTAGTGCCAGTTTCCTTATTACCTTCTTTGTTCGTAAAAGTAATTTTATCTTTAGCTGGTATCGGTTGGAAGAACATGTTAGTAGGATATTCAAACCAGACTTTTAAAATAGCCGTTCTAGGTCTGAATTGCTGCTCATTAAAGAGCTTAACAAATCCTTTATTTTCTTCCGGTAGAAACGGTCTACCACTTTCCGCTTTAGGATATTCGCTGTCTAAATCCGACATGGCGGACGCGTACAAACCGTTATCTTTTTTACTTTTACTATATTCTTTAAATAAATCAATTATATTATCACTTCGTGTTTCACTAAACTCCTTTAATACATTACAAATATCATCCATTCTATTCGTTTCAAATGATTTTCGATTTGCCGAAACTCTTCCTCCTTCAATGGATTGTCTGATAAAATATCTTATAAAAGGGGATGTATGTAAGTGAACTTTTCTACGTTTTCTTTTTCGGTGTTTTGTTGGAACCATTCTAGTAGATTCATACCATTCTTCTTCAACCATTTCTTTATGGTAATGATATACATAATACCATCCCTTTAAAGAAGGAGCCGTTAGATTATTGGAAGTATTCTGGAATACAACGTCTTTCATAACTTTGTTATATTTTATCAAACAAGCTCCAAGACATAACGTATCTCTTTAAGCGTAAGGTTCCCATTCGTGTCTTACAGATTCCCAATTATCTTCGGTGTATTTTGCAATATAGATATCAGTGATCTTTCTCAAATTCATTGGTAGATTAGATGAATTTCCCCATGCTGCCAAACATGCAACATTTGATCTATGCAATCTTTACCCACAAATAGTTCTACTATATTCATTTATTTATTATAAAATTCTTCTGAAACATTTTATTTTGCCTAACATTTTTCTTAGTTTTTCTAAATTAATTAACGTGGAAGAATAAGGAATGGCTTTATTCGTTTCTTTTTCGCTATAGGTTTCGCAATCCCATGCGTACAAACAATCATCGTGAATTGTTGGAAAAACATTTAGTTTTAGAGGTGAAACTTGTGTTACCGCATTATCATCTCTACAAGATCTCCATACGTTTTCATCGTAATTATCTTCTATTTCTTTAATGCCTAAGGTTTTGTTATTTCTTTATACAGAAATGTGATTTATGTAAGTAGAATTCCCAATCTAATTCCTCGCATACTTTCTTTGGTTGAAAATGTCTATGTTTGGGCATATAAATTTCAAAATAAGTATTAAATTTCTTATTGAATTCAGAGATTCTAGCAGTTGTCATAACTCCTTTTCTGTTTGATTTTGAAAAACTGTTGATGAAATCTTTAAATTCTTTTGTGTAGTCTTTGTTCAAAACACGATTTAAGCACTTTACAAAGCAGTGTCCATCGCTTGGTATGTAACAATTTATACCGGCATATTCATTTATCTTTTTGAGTAGGGTGGTACCACTACCCTTTTTTGATCTATTTATTTCTTTGAAATTGTTTTTACGTAAAATGATTTTTCCTGAGACATACCAATCAGAAGCATCCGATTTTACATCCACTGTTGCGAAGAAATTGTGAAAAGTTTTGGCATTAAAGCCTACAAATTGCATGTTTTGTTTGTGTCCTCCATCTTGAATTATCTCTCCATCTAAGTCAATTTGCCCTTTAAATGTTATAAATTTATTAGAAATAAGGTTAATAACATTGGAAAAAAGCACATTTGATATGAATGTTTCATCGTCTAAAATTTCAATTTTATTCATATTTTTTAAGTATCTATCTTTAACTAGGAATTTTTCACTTTTATTGATGATATTTCTACATCAAATTTATCTAAAATTTCATTGAATTCTTCTAATTCTTCAACGGTTATGTTCTTATCTTCTTTGATCTTTCGAAAAATATGAATAATTTATTAAGATATGTATTTAAAATTTCAGTTTTCTTTTTATAATGAGATTTCTGTTTTGATGTAAAACCTAAAGTAATCAATCCACAAGATGGAGTTTGAACGGCAGTGAACGCGGCTAATACAGTTGGGGCAATTATTGGAAGCATTAATCCACCGGTTACGGCTGTTGCCACTGTTACTCCTACTGTTAGAACTGTGCTTAATGTTTTGAAAACAGAATCAATTCTACTCCATGTTTTTCTGCATTTGTTAAAGTGTTTTAGTTTTTTTTAGTTCGTTTTGTTTTTCTATCATGTAGTTTTGTCTGCTTTCTAGTTCCATATTTTAGGTAATTAAATTAAATGAATTTCTGATAAAGCTGCTACGTGTTTACTATCATCAATAACAACTTTTACAGTTACTAACGATATTTGTTCTTTCGAATTATTAATCTTATTCAGATGAAATGAAAATTTTGGTTTTTCAATAGAGATTGATATATTAACATATATCTCATGATCTCTTACTGTTGGTATCAAAAATGTTTGTTTTTGTTGACTTTTATGAATATCAATTGAGGTAAATATATCATTATTAACAAAATATAGTTTTACGTAAGTAAAAAGTCTGTTTTCATCTTCATCTGGACTGTCATCTATTAATTGTTGAATGTCTAATTTTTGTTTTGCAATCTTATCATGTAATTTAGATATTAATGAAATTAAATTTTGTAACCCTGTTTTGTTCACTACGTTGACTAATTGTTTTTGAATAAAAATGGTTTTTATTTACTACAATTGAATTTATTTGATCCCGTAAATATTTCTTGTGAACAGTGTGATTATCATTTTCGGGAGACTATTAGTTACTTTGAAATTGTTCATATCTAAATCACCTTGAAAAGTGTCTCCGATTTGATCCACAAAGTAAGGTTTCGCTTTATTTATCCACGCTGTAGTGTTAGTTGTTTTGGTTTCTAAAGATAACGAACCCAATCCAAACTTGTTCGCCATTTATATTGAGTTAAATTTATTATAATTTCTTCAAACTGTTTTCCTAAACTCAACTGATATAAAACCCAAAGTGAAAGCTGTCCACAAAACTTTTGTTCCGGTAATTGAAATTGAAATGTTGAACATTTGATTGGTTTATTAGTTAATTTCACAATCTCTTCAGTGGGTTCTAATTCATTTGAAGAGTCTTTGTACAAAGCAGAATGATGAACTCCTTTTTGATCGAAGTATGTATATTTGTTATAGCATAAAATTTACCTTTCTTATATTTGAGATCATTTATTTCATCTCCCATACAATAATAAAACGGTGATATATTTAACTCATTCGCCCATCTCATAAGTTGAAAGGTTGTATCGGTTCCATATTTATTGAGAAAGATATTCATTTTTAAAAGTTGGTTTTTTGAGGAGTTATGTTTTCGAATTCTTTCAGAGTATACGGTAAGTATTGTTGAAAACCCAATTGACGAAATATATACGTAGTTTGTGTTTGAAAAAAATTGTATAACATTCTGATAAAACACATTCAATAATATTTTGAACACAAATTTGCATTTAAATTTAAAAAATTTAAATTTAAGAAAGCCTAAATGCTTGTCTACATCTACATTTCTTAATCTTCTATCAAATTCTTTATCATCCGAATTCTCTTTGTTTTCGACAAATGCATTCATTTTTTTTAAAGTAAGTTTTTTGAAGTTCATTTTGATAAAACCTACCTACGATTTGTTCTTTGTCTTGATCGATCAATTCATACGTGGGAGGTAATGTGTTATTTATTTTATCAACGATGAATATTTCGTTTGTCCAGTATTCAACGTAACCTTTTTCGAATTTACTTTTATATTTGAAAATACGAACGCGATCTCCAACTTTAAATTTGGGTTTAATATTTAAATTATTTATTTCATTTTCGTAGTTATGTTGTGTGTTAATTACCTTTATAATATTTGGATTATTTGTGGCTTGTGTTGGCGTGACCCCTATAGATGAATGAATTTTGTTATTGTATTCATCTACGACCTCTGGTAATATTTTAAGCCATTTTTGAGATTTCAATTCCGTGAACTTTTTGAATAATTTATTTTTTAGAGTCCTATTATATCTCTCAATAACTACAGATTTACCTTCATTATGCGTGCTGTACATTTCAAATCCCAGAGATTTCATATCTTTGTTATAGAATTCACTTCCTTTAAATACCCACAGTTTTTCTGGATGTCGGCTAGATTGTTTCAAAAGCATGTTTGACTGATAATCAACTGGCATATTAATTAAATCGGCTGACCATATTTCATCTTTTTCAAATACTTTAACTTTTAAAAAGTTTTTAGTTTTTCTAAATTCTTTATGAATTTCATCCGCTAATCCCATGCCCAATTTCATCTTTGCTTTAACAATTTTATGATCAGAGCCCTTTGCATTCTCTCTTTGAAAGTTGAATTTGAAATATTTTCAAGTTCGATTATCATTTGACTGAATGCTTCGTGTCTGAAGTTTATGTCTTTGTTTCTGTATAAAATATCGTGTTTAAGCGCAGCGGCGTCAACTCTATTGACTGGTTCTTCACCCGGTTTGGGTTTATCGTTTTCGTCTAATCGCAGATCTAACCTGGTACCAGTCTATTTATGACCGGGAAGATGTTTTTCTCCAAGATATTTTGCCCATGGAAATCCAGGAAGAGAACCCAATGCTTTTTATACGCCCACATGAATATGTGGTCGTATATTGTCGTTGCCCCTGTCTGTCGGTCCGTCGGTCAACATTTCTTTATCTGATTTTGATAAAACTTGGTGTGATGCTTTAGATTGATAAGATCCCAGTCAAGTTCGAATTTGACATATTTTCGATGAACTCTTTTTGAGATATTGCCTTTGAGTTAGAACGCCTTGAAATTTGATAGAAATTGTTCTTGAGCAGGATTGAAGCTACAGTTTTCATCCGATTCTGATGAAACTTGGTGTGATCATTGGTATTCATAAGATCTCGGACAAGTTCTAACTTGACGCATTTTCGAGGAACTTTTTTGAGTTATTGCCCTTGACTTTGTTAAAACGCGTCGAAATTTGTTAAAAATAGTTCGTGAGCAGGATTGAAGTTACAGTTTTCAACCGATTCTGATGAAACTTGGCATAATCATTGGAATTGATAAGATATCGGACAAGTTCTAACTTGACGCATTTGCGATGAATGGTTTTTGAGTTATTGCCCTTGACTTTGTTAAAACGCTTCGAAATTTGTTAAAAATAGTTCGTGGGCAGGATTGAAGCTACAGTTTTCAACCGATTCTGATGAAACTTGGTGTGATCAGTGGAATTGATAAGATCTCGGACAAGTTCTAACTTGAAGCATTTTTGATGAATGGTTTTTGAGTTATTGCCCTTGACTTTGTTAAAACGTGCCAAAGTTTGTTCGTGAGCACAATAGAAGCTACAGTTTTCAACCGATTCTGATGAAACTTGGTGTGATCATTGAAATTGATAAGATCTCGGACAAGTTTTAACTTGGCGCAATTACGCTGAACGGTTTTTGAGTTACTGCCCTTGACTTTGTAAAAACGCATCAAAATGTGTTTGTGAGCACTATAGAAGCTACAGTTTTCAACCAAAATCGATCAAACTTGTTATGATTTTTG